AACCACCATCATTTGACATCATGGGCATCATTCTTGAGGTTCTTGAGGCCGATCTCGTAATAATGTAACGAAAGAGTATTGGTGGTCTAGTAATAAGCGTAATGGATTTAATGACCTATCAGGCCTAAGTCTGATGAAACAGAAGAGCAGATTTCCTTGCTAATAGCACGACGTTGCTATGCTCGTGGTATTTAAGGCCCGACTCGCCACAAATCTATCTCAAAGTGCAATACTATTGCCCATCTGCTACATCTGGGAGGGCCGTATAATACATACAAGGAATTGAGAGTCGGCCATATTATCATTTTCGGGCAATTAATCTTAACTACACTGAAAGTTGAGAACTTCGCATTTCTCTTCTTCATCTTTCATCCTGAACTGGAGTGGGATGAGAGTGGAGGTAGCTCAAGTGTGTAGTTGAAGTAGTTGGATGGATGGTGAAAGTGGCCAACCCACATGCAATAATATTATACACACCACGAACAACACAGCATGAGTATGTGTGTGTGTAGCTAAGAAAAGGGGATCCAAATTCACTAATCGAACACAAATCTTGCCTGGTAATTTAATGCAATAAGAATCTGGTTTGAATTTCTGACGTGTACATACACACGACGTGTTCTCATAAAACAGGGCTAATAAAATCAAAGAATATGTGCATTTTTTATCTATATATAATTTATTATAGGTATTGTGTTTTTTTTATTTAATTCCTCGTATAATAAATTTTTCTCCTAAATTAGACGAAAAGGCCTAAGAGATGTATACACATCTTGATGTTTGTTCTCCATTCCTTAAGAAAAGTCTGACACAAGAACAGGACTCATTTCCCTAATAAAGCTATTTAGAGGATCACAGGTGGGAAGAAGCGGAGTTGGTAATTTATGTTCTTCCCAACTGTGCAGTAGATAAGTTAGGTAAGAAAATACGATGATTATCCTCCTTTCGTGTTTCCTTGATTAAAGAAGAGAAAAGGCGGAAAGAATTTCTATCCGATGGTTATTTGCTAGTAAATCAGAGGACTTCAAGTCAAAGAAATGGCTGGATTAGTGGAATATTTAGGAGAGTTTTATGACGATTACTGGAGTAAATACGTGCGTTATATACGAGTTATGTGTCAAAAGTACAGATTTCTTGCTAATAAGAATCCCATTTATTCGGATTATAATTGACAACAAAGTTGAATTGGGAAGCAAAAGGCGATTATCTGGTTCTGACCAATGGTACATGGAGCCGTGGCATGGCAGCATGGGTACAAGTTAAGACTTTGGTCAAACATATCGCATTTGGTGACATGCCATGACACTTATTCACTCTATTTAATTCGCTCTGAAAGATGTTGAAAACCGCTTTTTGTCATCTGCAACATCCCTCCAAACCGACGGACCATGGCTGAGGCTGCCTGCATGGGGAAGCCTCGTCCTGGGGAATAGTGGTGGCTGACGATGGGAATATTGATAAACGACGCGCTCTCGCCACCCACAATATTACTACGAGCTCAAGAGGACTCGTGCCCTATCTCGTTTTCTGTGATACTGAAGCTTAATTTTTATGGATCTCAATGATTAAATAATTCACGGAATCATTTATCTTCTTTTTCATATATTTAATCCGCTCCCTACAAATTCTAGAACAATCTGCATGATGAGGTTATGGTTGATTATTTTCCATGTGCAATTTTCTTCTCTTTTGTTTGAACAAGGAAAAGTAAAGTGTATGGAAATGAAAAATCAATGCAATGCTGTCTTCTTCTTCTTCTTCAATACGGGCAGTAACTTGACTCACCAAGCTTCCTGATCATACTTCACTCCACCACCAACTCCTTACCACCACCTTCAAATACCAATATTGTTAGACTTGAAGAACGTCTTGGAGCTGGCTGACTGTATATTTACATTGTTGGTTAGAACTCTAGATTCACTCACTAACCCTCGTCTCATTCTTGGAATGGGTGGGAGTAAACCAAAGCAAACATTGCAAGATCAATATAGATTAGGAGAAAATTGAAAAATTGTAATCTGACTTTGCTCAACACTTTTAGACGACGCAAAATGTGCAGAGTGAGAATATGTGTCGCCCCGTCATCGGCGTCATTTCAATCGAATGAAACTTACATGCATACGCAGGTAATTCAACTTCCGGAATTCTGGAGAACTCCACTTGACTCACATCACTTTTTTCGTCATGATTTGCTCTTGAGTTTGTTTCCACTGGTACATATATACTTATATTGATATTTATTCCGTCATTTATGCTGCATGGCGTAGCACAAGCTTAATGCAATACAAGCAAAATGTGGGACAAAGATACCAGTGAGAACATGTACACACACGAACGTCCATAGATACATATATACGCGGAGCTAAACTGAAATTGAATATGAGGACATCGATGGAAGAGAAAAGATGTGGCTTTTTGTGGGAAAGAAAGTGGTGAAATTGAAAGGCATTCGCGAGACGGGATGGATGAGGATCGGAGGTTGTAGTGGAGAGTGCTTTCATTCATCATAATTTGTTTCCTCGCTACGAAGGATGAATGGAAGTCCAGCCCTGTCAAACCGGAATGGAAGAGGACACACTGCGGTGGACCAACTTAACTTAATCTTATTGTTTCTATTGCTACTTTTATTTCTGCTTTCGTTTTCTACTCATTTTATCAGCGACTGACTGAGTGCTCAATTCAACCAATTTCCTAAACTTTAACATGACTGTTGATTCACTTAAGCAACTCCTCGTTGTTTTTATTGATCATGCTTTTAGTGCGCTGACTTTTTGTCGTTCTTTTCTTTTCAAACTCAAACTTTAGAGACGTGAGTTGACATAATTTCGTTTAAAGTGAAACTCTTAAACAATATCATCAGAACGGATGATTTTTTGAAGATGGTCATGATCTTATTCTAATGACTGAGGGTGATAGATGTGATTGTGTGCCTCAAAAACCTGTCCAAAAAAAGAGAGATAAATTAAATTAGGGAAGGAGGAAATGAGAAAATTGAATTCCCCGTTTTCCATGAATTGGTACACTTACGCCCGACAGTGAGAGATGCGACGAAGGAGATCGGATGCAGGAAGTTCTCAAGGCATCTACCGGTGAAAGTCGGGCCTTTTCAAAGAGCAGATCGACTTCCTCTCTTCCAACAGTCCCCGTTGGATTTCGCTTTTGCTCCTCTCTGAGCACAAGTTCCTCGCTCAAGATCAGACCCACTGTTTTCTAGATATTTATGCAGTTATTGTAAAATGCATACGTAGAAAATTGCCCAAAAATATACTTCTTTTGTATACTAATATTTAATTTTCACTTACAAATTGTCATATTTTGGTTCCAAATGAGATGTTTGGAAATATGCATTGTATGAATTACTCCATACATATTAGTATTTATATGCATTAAGTATTACAGGATACGTACAATCACGTGGAATTTTGTTGTAAAGTCCCTCTTAAATTTACTCATTTAGCTCGTAAGACAAAAGTATTTATAAACAGTTCAGGGTAATTTACATAAGTGGGTTGAATTTGTGGAAGTTGGTAGTTGGATAAACTTCATAAATACGAGGAAATCAAATAAATGCGTAAATTAGTTATTTATTTAATTCAAAATTGATGAATTTGCTTTAAAATAATTAATAACCTCTAGACTATGTGCATATGTAGTATAAAAATAAATCCTCGTAGTCGTTCTGGTTGTTATTTTAATTACTTGCAATTACATTTTAATTTCCAGTTTTTGTCGGTGGTGATTCATGGTGAGGTGAGGCAAAGCATGTCGAGGCAGTCTAATTATTTGAAAGAAAATAATTATATGACATGCATGTACCCGTCATGTTTGTCTTCTGTCGGTATGGATTGACAGTTGATATTGGATGGGTTTGACTTGACTATAAACATTTTAGGTCCTAATACTAAAACTAAAAATCCTCCTACAGTTTCTGTAGAAAGGTACAATTTTAAACAATGTTATCTACATAATGTGTTCCAAACAACTATATAACAATTGGAGGTTGAAGCCAAATTGGTCAATCTCAGGGAACCAACAAGGTGTTTTCAAATGAAATGTGCTAATTTAGAATCCACAGAAAGCTTGATTATCTATTTCTATTCTTTATTTTATATACTCATAGAGTGGTGCATTAAACATAGAGTTAAATGGTAGTGTAGATAAGTTACATCACAAGCCGGCATAAACCTTTCGCATTAATGCCAAAAAACGGTCTTGAAGGTTAAGATTGATAACGTGCACAATTGCAGTTGGCTTTATGGTTAAGGTACAAAATTTTGCCTCACAATTGTGCACAATTCGTATGCATGGATCAGCACTTTGCTTTGTTAAAATCAAGGCTGTCACGGTTTAAGACGATGCTTGTTTTTAGTTTAATCTTTCTCAAGATTACTTAGCTCATTTCCAGCTTTATGCACGATGATGCTTATGCAGATATTAAAAATATTCAGATAGCATTACATAAAATAATTATTCAAACCCACTGGTATTTTCATGTGTTGTTATAAGCAATTTTGAATATCCGTTTGAAATTTGAAAATTATAACCCAACAATGAAATTATGCTAATTTGCAATTTATCACAAGCACTTGTGTTCTTAATTAATCTTTTACATCTGACAAATACTTCAATTAATACTCGTCGTTTATCGAGTTATTTGTGATAACCATTGATGTGATTGATGTCCTTATTGAGTGACTACTAACCGAGCTATAACGAATGCACTTGCAATTTCATGAGGAACATAACAAATTAAATATAACAATGCAGTGTGGGTACGTTCATGGTCATCCTGTTGCGCTACAACTTTCTTGAATATCTTGGATCCTCTGATATGAAACTGATAGCAAAAAAAGATGATTGTGCGTGACAGCTGGAACTTATTGTTGGAAATGTACTTATACACATCTAAATGCATGCTTAAATGGTATTATATCATAGTGGCAAGGGACGTTTGTTTAAAGTGTGAATAACTAAACGAGGTATACATGGCCCATAATTTTGTACTTAATTTAATTAAGTTGGAATATCAAAGTTTGATCAGCGATCGGGTGTTCAGCTGTACTTATTGTTAGTTGGCGAAGAGGAGTGCACGCATATATAGCCAAATCCTATGAGTTGTACTTCACTGCATTTATTATAAATACATATGATATTAATACATATGTGCTTAACGTATATGTATAGTCTGTAGTGTCCTGGATAAAACTCACTCAGCAAGAATTGACCATCATCATTTCAACTTTTGAACCCATGTGTAGTAAATAGCTACCAGTCATCAGCCTCTGGTCCAGCCTTCACTTTCATGTCATTCAATATTAACTAGTTCCAGAATCTGCGGTAAAATAGCTCCTGCTAACAACATTTATTTATTTTACGTATTTTATCTAGCGCATTTAAAATTTTTAGCAAAATGCCTGGAGTTGTCCCTAATGAGGGGCCAAGTGTTTGCATCATAGGAGCTGGGTACATAAATATTTCTCAAATTGGTCTACAGACTTGTTAGTTGAATGAAATTTGATTTCGTTGTATAGATTCTCCGGCCTTTGTGGAGCAATCAAACTGATTCAAGAAGTGGGAACAACCAACTTTGAGATATTTGAAATGAACAAAGACATCGGAGGAACTTGGCTTTGCAACACATATCCTGGATGTGCATGTGACATCCCAATCCACTCGTACTGCTTCTCATTTGAGAAGAGAGCAGGTTTGCTTAAAGAAATAATACCCGGATTGCTTCAATAAGAGTTATGCGATTGCAGACTGGAGAGCACAGTATGCCACGAACAAGGAGATTTTCAAATATCTGCAGGAAGTATCGTCCAAATATGATTTGTACTCCAAAATACGATTTGAACATTGTATACAGCGACTACAATGGGACAACGAATTGCAAGCGTGGCTAGTCACCATACAAAATAATCGTGGAACCGTTATAACAAAAAAATTTGACATCGTGTAGGCCATTGTGATATTTTTTAAAATTATGAACCTATTTTTGTACTAATTTTACGTTAATCACCTATTATGCAAAAAAACTATTTATAGGATTAGTGCAACCGGATCAATTAGACTGCCAAAAATTCCCGAGCAGTTTAAAAACTTCAAGGGACCAATTTTACACACTGCAAAATGGGACGAGTCTGTGGACCTGATAAATCGTCGAGTAGCCGTAGTTGGGACTGGAGCTAGCGGAATACAAGTGATTCCTCAAGTTTCTAAATATGCCACAGACCTATTTGTCTTCCAGAGGTATGCATTTAGATATGTTAACGTTTCATATATAGGAACGCACAAAAATATGTATGTAAATCGATCTCCATTGATAGGAAACCGTCCTGGATTTTTCCAAAGATAGATTTTGAGTTTGGAAGAATAACCAAATTTTTATTTCGGTACATTCCGTTCCTTTTAACCCTGTATCATATGGTATTATTCTTTTTAATGGAACTAGTGTGGTACGCCATGCGAAAAAACTCGTGGGCATCAAAACAAGGTTGGCAATTGCTCTACTCTACTTTCTCACGTGAATGAGTCATGCATATTAATTTATATTTCTCACGATTTTTTCTTCAGCGACAAAGGTTTGCAACGCATTCAGAAAAAAACAGTTGGGAAAACGTAAAGATTTGTACGATAAGTTAACTCCGGCTTACGACTTTGGGTGTCAGCGCACCGCATTTGCGTCGGACTATTATCCTGTGTTCACTAAGGCAAACACGTCTCTGATTACTGAAAAAATTGACTCGGTCACAACAGACTCCATAATCACTGGAGATGGCAGCAAATATGAAATCGATGTAAGTGCACAGGTCATAAAAAACAGTTCAGCATCTATTTTGATGCTCGAAATTCTAATTTTATTTTGATTGTAGGCAATCGTCTTGGCGACTGGATTTCGAATTACAGATTATTTTGCTCCAATGGAAATTATTGACAAGAACGGTGATAACGTGTTGCCGCAGTGGAAGAAAGATGCACCATCGCTTTTTTTAGGCATAGCCAGTCATAACCTGCCTAACTTGTTCATACTTTATGGACCGAATACATCCACTGGTCACAACAGCGTTGTGCTAACCGTTGAAATGCAGATGGAATGGGTTGTATCCTGCTTACGAAAAATGATTGATCGAAAAGCAAAAGTTGTATCAATCAATGAATCCGCAGTTCGAAATTATATGAAACAACTACGAGACCAGTTTCGCCTAATGGTTTGGGATGCATCGCTATGTTCGCCTTGGTATACGGATGAACTTGGGAGAAACGTGTCAATGTAGGCGAGATATGAATTTAATTGCTCAATAATCTAGAACTATCAAAGGAAATATTATTTGTTTTTCACAGATATCCATGGCAGTTGTCCCATTTCTCCAAACAAGTCAGAACATTCAACTACAATCAATTAGACTTTCAATGAAAAACGAGACATGTTTAAATTTGAACACTAAATGAATATCGCTAAATGATTAATGACACCACAAGCAAAACATGTCACATGCAACCATAATAGCATTTAAAACTTGGGGAATAAATTATCAAAACTTAATTAATTTTGATTGCATCGTAACTCATGTACTAGACTAGCATACATACCACATGCCACGTATATACCGTGTTAGCATGCAATAAATCACACTGGCAATATTATTACGAGAATATGAATAAAAGAGGGACGCACACCCATCCCACTCTGGAGAGTAAATCACTGGAGTTCATAGATAGTTGACCATGGGAATTGGATTAAAGTTGCAACTTGCGTTGGTATAGTTTCGAACGAGATGAGGACGGAGGAGGACTGGTGATCAGATCCCAAAAGGAGATCATCATTAGCGTCGATGCCTGAGACATAAAGAGGTCATATATTTGAGGACCAATTAGGTGTTTTCCCGTTAAGCACTTGGGCGAGGAGGGTGCATGGAGTGGAGCGGAAGTGTTTACCTTGTATCAAATGTGCAAAGAAACGGAATGTGAGGGGGATTTGTTTCTCTGATTTCTTCCTTTATCTCAAGGGAGTCGAGTAATGTTCTGATTATTTCCCTCTCCACTCGCTACTGCGAACCCCACATGCCACCAACCAACCTATCAACTCGACATACTTCCTTCCGCTGCTAATTGCGAATCCTCATCGGCTATATCAGTTACAATCTCTCCAATCAACATGGAACTGGAGTGTCTCTCTGCATTCTCTGATTCCTTTCTGAACTCGGAAACAAAATTTGACCAGAGGGCATTCATTCTTTTTGGGCCATAAGGTTCAATACAGCAGATATAATGTGCACACATAATTCGGCTTGAGGTATAATAAAGTCACCAAGCATGCAACCACACGGAATACTCTGCTACACATAATGCAAGAAAGAGATGGGATATTATGGATGGAAACATAAACATAATTCGCAGGATGCACACATACCTTGTCCCTCCGCGACATGTGCCCATGAGTATAAATAAAGTGTCGTTCTCATTGTCAGAGTGAATTCAATCTATGTAAATCAACCAGATCATTATGGGACGGGTTCGGCCGTGGTGGTGCGGTATTGGAGAAGGCGGAGTAGAAATAAGGTGACGTAATGCAAGAGGGGTTTCCAGGATGAGGAACACAATATATTTCCTATAGTGAAAGAAGGAAGGAAATCATAACGAAGGATCTGGTTGTTAAAGTTGGCTTGAGCAAAGCAAAGCTTTTGATTCAGTGGGAAGAGGAGCAACTGAAGAAAGGCTTAGCAGAGGAAAATTTTAAGAAAGAATCCACGACAGCGAGAGCGAGAGAGCGAGAGTGAGAGAGAGAGAGAGAGAGAACAAGGAAGAGAGGGAGGAAAAGCTCGTGTATGTACTGCTATGTGCTTGTGGGTCGGAGGGAAAGCATGGAGAGAAAGCAGAGGCAAGCGGGAGGATGCCAAAAGTTGGTTTTGTATGTTAGCAGTGTGAGCGGCAGAGGATCTGGGAGAAATTCGTGGGTGAAAGTGGAGTAGGAAAGTGGAAGGAGTTCTGTGAATCTGGTCTGCAAATGGGCAGAGTCAAGGAGGAGCATCGCAGTTGGATCGATTCGTTCGGTTTTGGATGAGATGCTGGGCGAGCAGGTCCGACTTGATTGTCGGAAACTTGGGACCCCTGAACAGACCTCCAATTGATAAGCACACACTTTCCCTCTCGCTTTTTGCAGCTCACACGGTTTCACGACCCAGAGCAACCCTGCCAAAGATTTTTCCTCCTCGGTATCCCTTTCACCAGTTGAATTTTTGGAAGCAGTGGCTCATCAAGAAACCGACAGAACGTGGTGGCAAACAGCTCTCCTCCTTGTGCTAGACTTCAATTATGGACGACACAGTGTCGCAAAGGTTAGTGTTTCTTGAACTCCCTGGTTCTACGCCACAAAGCAATTGTGCTGTTGGGAGATGACCCGACCCCTAATTCATATCACCCCCAAATAATTCCCAACAAAGTAGCAACCTCAGTGCCCAAGTAGTTAATAAGTTATAAACAAAATTCACGCCTGCCACCCATTCTTGGCCAACTCCGCAATGTCATCTTGACCTTAATTTGAAGGACCATTGTCATTCTCATCGACAACCGTTGATTGGTGGATTGTCATTTGTGAAGACTTGGATTGTGCGAAGAAAGCAGGATGAAGTGAGAGAGACAGTAAAAGTATGGACTAGGAGTTGTAGGCGGAAGGCCGGTAGCTTTGCGACAGCGAACAGTAGGAGTTGCTATATGGTCACCAGAGTAGCACCAACGTGAGGCAAACGTATAGCAAACTTGGATGAGGACTGAGCTAAATAAAGGAAAATTAAATTAAATAGTCAAACATCAACCTGTCGTCGTCTCGATTTTTCAACCAACTCACGTTTTCCCCTTTATCCCAAATGCTAATTGTCATCATGCCCCGTTTCAGACTACCTTTCTCCTTTTCCCCGTAGCTCACTCTCTTTCCCTGCAACAACTGCTGCTCGCTTTCTCTCCTCTCGTTCTCTCTTCCGTGAATCCTTTCCCACTTTCACTCGATCCTCCACAGCTCAACTGTCACGAATCAGCATCAGAGTTCCATTTAGCCAACCACTTCACTCTATGCTGATTCAAATCTGCCCACCTTTGTCCAACCGGAATCGGAACAGTGCAATGGTGAGCGTTTCAAGTGGAGCCACAACCATCCTCACATTATTGGCCTACTTCTTCTGTCTTCCAAAAGGTACACCTATTGTTCTTATCTCACATAATAATAATAAACAATGGAAGCGCTTGTCAAGTTTGCGAGACTTTACCAAGTTACTGAATGCCACCACGCGCCACAAAATTGGCGACACAATTACCGGAAGGACAGACAAAATAGCTAAAATAATGCGAGTTCTTGCCAGTGGCCAAACTGGGTTTTCATCCATGCAGTTTTACTTTACTTGATTAATTTTGGCATAACAGCCTCGGGATTTTCTTCTCCCGAGCTCAACAGCAGCCATATAAGCCTTGGAACCGTACATATATTGCACTTACCATTACAAAACGTACGTACATACCTGATCCTCCGACTCTGCACACAAACCTGAAATGTCCTCAAAGCCTAAATCTTAAAGTTGAGCATGCCGAACACATCACGACGAATTATGTGCACATATTATGGAGCAATATATTTGTCATAAAATCGATCAGTCAAAACATTAAGTTTACTTTGATAATTTTTTCCCATTACATAAATTGCATATATTAACATGGGCGTTATTGTATACCCAAGTTAATCATTGGGGAAACCAGTTTAAAAAAAATTATATCCATCATTGTCTTTGTCTTTTGTCCGAAAATGTTAATAGTCAATTAATGTCCATTAATATTATTCCAAATTAGATACGCCCAAAATTGAAATCAGAAATTGTCGTAATACTCCATCGTAATTGTCCATCAAGATGAGCAATTTTATTAATTTTGCATGCCAAACATAAAGGTTCTGATAAGTTTTTTGATGCCTAAGTTTATGCCCGAATGAAATTGCTCTCTTTTAAGAGACTAAGGTGTGGTGTGCATATATTATTCATAGACTAATTTGTTCATCAATCGGAAGGGTGTGGATATGAAGCCCATTACGGATCTAGCTATAGGACACTACAGGTGACTAGGACTTTACAGAGGTGAAGTCTGGTAGTCGCAAACTAAAAGAGAACAGACACATTTTTGGTAGTCAAAGCTTATGAAGCACGTCCGTATGGCAAAAAAGTCCCCACGAATTCGATTCGTGTCCCAGCTCATGTATCGCATTATCGCGCCTACATGACAATGGATTACAAAATTTAATCCTTTGCATGCAAGTTGGTCAGAGATCAGGAAAAATACTGGAAGCTTTTTTAAAGTTTTACACAAAATTCATTCTATTTCCTAGCCAGACCCAGCTCCGCTGAATAATTTAAAATGCGTTGTACGCTTTAGTCTTCTTGGTTCATTTCAGACCATGGAAAATGATTATCAAGAGCTTCAAAGAAATTTGCCCGCTCTGCACTACGGTACTATTGACCGTTTTTTGGTGTGTACTAGCGTTGTTTGATGAAACACACTCTATGCAAGATCTCCATATTCATTTTTCAGATTATTTACTTGAATAAGTAAATGCAGATTTTTTAAAAATAATGTATTTGTTTTGCGTGTGAAATATTTGCTGAAACTTGAAAAATCCACTCGTCTAAGAAGTGGACAGTTTCCAACTAACCAAACTTAGCAAAGTCTTCCAAGAAAATAAATAAGTAAATGCAGCATGGAACGATAATGAGAAAATCTATTAATATCAGTGACATTGGCGCCGGATGGCATTATAATTCTTATTAGGTTTCTCATTTCGGCAATTAGTGTTCAAAGTACCACCGCCGTTGGTCTGGCTTATTCTATCAATGATGGGTAGTCTGATCATATAGACGCATGATTTTGTATACTTAAGTATGTCCAAATTGGAAATGAAATCACTCCAGCAATTGATTTTAACTCATCAATTAAAATAAATGCTTGGAGAAACCAAAGCCTGAATGCACCACACTTTAAAGTAGACAGTTAAATTTAGAAATCAAATACGTAAATCCCGAATAATGCCAAAAATTGTTACCCAGCCGGGAATCGATCCACGGCTCCCTTGAATTCATGTCAAGTGCTCTGACCTCTGAGCTACTAGGGCAATTAGTAACATTATAGGGACTTTTACTGATATTTGTCTGTGGCCTTTTTCTGTGAATTTCTACTTTCTTTTACGGTGGCAACGAACTGTTGCCTACCAAAGAAAGTTCACTTTTGGCCTACGATGGAAAGTTCTTTTTTATTCCGAACTAGGAATTTGTTTTGATTTTAACACTACTTCTATCCTTGTGGAAACCAAATTTATTTAGAAATCAAATACGTAAATCCTGAATAATGCCAAAAATTGTTACCCAGCCGGGAATCGAACCACGGCTCCCTTGAATTCATGTCAAGTGCTCTGACCTCTGAGCTACTAGGGCAATTAGTAACATTATAGGGACTTTTACTGATATTTGTCTGTGGCCTTTTATATGTGGCCTTTAGACAGTTAAAGTATAAATAGGTCTGTATGAAGGTTAGGTATGCGAAATATTTGTAGACACTCCTGACGTACATTTACTCGCATTGTATTCTTGTGGACCAAAACGAAATTGATTTTAACTGATTATTTAAAGTGATAGAAAGCGAGACTAATAATGCGAAAATACATCTCCGGGAAGAGCCCGACCAGACTTATGTAGGATGCATGCATGCATATTATCAGTAGAGAGAGAGTTGGATCGAGGTAATATCGATTTGTGCAGCGTGCAGAATAGTCGTCGATCCATTTATTTTCGAACGATTCCAATCATCAACTACCATATTACACAATTCGAATTGGGGTTTAATGTCATAAAATGCGGGTTTGATCTTATTTCTTAGCCCACTAAAACACCCTGGATTTTAATTTTCGAATAATAAGCAAGAATAACCCTCTTGTCATGAATTAACATTTAATAATTTGTTTTTAAATGCATTCATTAAATAAATTGTATGAACACGGTGCCATGTTGTGTATATGGTTACTATTTCGAAGGATATTTTTGCAACATGATATGTCTCATATCTGAAGTATAGCACAATCAGAACCTGGAAATAGCAATGGTTTTTCGTGTCATTCGAAAAGCAGTGTTGTTGTGTAATACTTGTTTGAAGTGAGAAGCCGAGAGTTTGTCTAATAATGGTTTCAACTGTATGGTTTGGAGCGAGCGATAAACAACAGCAAAAGTATCCAGTGAGATTGAAGTTCATGTTTTATAAAGTTTACATCAATGATAAGAGAAATAGTGAACTTTGTGTACAAAACTAATGTCCTAGATGTATTTTATTGCACATTAACTGTTATGGTCTCATAACTAACACGGTTCATTACATTTGTGAAAAGCTCTAATGTTAACTTATAATTCATTCCCATAAATAAGAAAGTCGCATGTACATATCTGTTCTTGTAAGAATTTGCTCGTGTATGTAAGTACAAACTATTAACAAACTTATAACTTTGGCAGATACTTATAATTGAAGTCGTGGACCGAAGATATGAGAATTTTGAGTCATATGTACAGTCGTCGTAACATTAACGCCTACAACTTTTGTGGGCTAAAGGGAGCAATGATCATTATCAATCTTGATAATACCTCTTCGTATATACGTGTGTATGCGAGATAGTGGTGTCAATAATGTACTAACATCGAATGCCCGAATTTCACAATTTGGAAGCAGTGGAGTTAGATTGAAACTGAATGGTAGGCGAGGCTTGTCATGTTTCTTAATTCAAATTCAGCATTTCGTGGCATCTGATGTTTCCAGTTGAATTGCACTCTCTTATTCTATTCCAGTCCATTCTATGCATACATTTATAGGCTGGCTGTCTGCTGTCTCCGTACTTCTCTGCGTCCTTCTGCTTTCTCTTTTCTTGGCATCCAGCTACCCGTCACCATCGTAGGTGACGAGAAACTCAGTCATAAATTTCAAATGACGCGAATGGTTTGACACAGCCGCAAGAGGCGAATGTTGACCCACAACTTTTGGAATTTCAATATAGATTAAATAAAATTTAAATACTTTTTTTCGCAGCCACCTGGCAGATATTAATAACCGCATTGAAAGATATTTTCCATCACTTTGTGGCAATATCCATATCCTGAAAACAATCATGAGAACAAATTTATTTTTGAAACGCATTGAAAGTTTGACCCAATAAAAAGGCACGTTGTGTTTGTTTGTCTAAACACTATGCATAGCGTTAATTTGTTTAAAATCAAGATTTAAACGGACACGCTAGCCGTTGATGACAATGTGCATGGATACTTTTTTTATTTAAACTCAGTCCATGGCTATACTGTGACTTGGAAATGAAGAGTGCTTAAGGATGCGCTTTCCGTGACTAAAGAGTTGCTACCCAGCGTGGGTAGAGACAATCAAAGTAAAGAGCAACTGCAGAATGAGTATAAGGAGGAAGAAAGGACTGATGAGGGTGGGTGGCTGGCTGGCAGGAGACGAAGCCCTGGTGGTTTTGCAGAGAGCGAGTCAGGCAACGTGGACGGAGGATATCCCTGGTGGTGAAAGTAAAATCAATGCAAGTGACTGTGGGAGAAAGCATTGCAGGGCTGCTCCCATCCCATTCAGCATTTTAGGAAGCTTTCTCCTGCTCGCTCCTGCCAACCATGCTGCTCAATGCACAGAGTATTGAGTCTGAAATCCTGCGGGTACGGAGGTTTCTATAAAATTCTGACTTTTATCCAACTGCCAAGTGCATACCTTTCCATACATTGCCTACATTACCAACAGCTCTACACGATTTGGGCCAGATAAACCAAGATCATACAGCTTTTGCCAAAATGCCAGCAATAAATATCATATCACAAGATCAAAGTTTTCAGACCCATCTTTTCCAGAACAGTGGTGTTAAAATCTCAATTTCTTTTCTATGGCCCTCCTGATGCAATTGATTTACTGAGATCATTCCATTTTGTGTTATCTTTCAAACACACTCCGCCTTCTGTGCTTGCACAATCTATTTTATTTAAACAATGCATGAAAGCTTTAGGCTACACATTCTAAACAAAATCTATGCTAAATCTACATTATGAAAAAGTGCGAAATGCAAATATATTGAAAACAACATATGCACAAGAGCCACGAACTAATTATGAATATATACTTAAA